TTCGATGGGGAGATTGTCCGACGAGCAATAATTGTTCAGATGTTTGAAAGAAATGAATTTGTTACTCTCAGAAAATTGAAAAGATGGTTGTCCGATAATCATGATATATTCTAAATATATCGGAGACATGCCTCTGAAAAACATGGAGACGTGTTGGGTTTACGTTCAGGAAATCAGATGGTGGGGAAAATTTTATTGTGCGAAAGAAATGTTGTTGAATTAAGAAGTAATTGAGAGAGTTGAAAGACGTCCGTGAGAAAGGATATGAGGTTTTCTTCCAAGACGAAACTTTTTTAAACGCTCACCATGAACCAAGTGTTCTAAAAAGAATGGCAGTTAAAGGATGGACATATTAAGAGACAAGTTCCAGCTGGAAAAAGGAGAGAGACTGATAATTGCACATTGTGGAAGCAGTGAAAAGGGTTTACTTGAGAACGCAAAACTAATTTTCAAGTCAAATTCCAGTGACAACAGGGATTATCATATAAGAAAATGAATGGCAAAATAATATTTCGAACTTGGATTATCAAAAAAACATTTCCTGCACTGGACAAACTATCTTGCTTAGTGATAGATAATGCGTCATATCACAACATAGTGGAAGAACAGGATAAAATTCCAACAAGTGCAAGCAGGAAAGACTATGAGAGAGGAAATGAAAGATTGGCTCAACAAAGAGAGCATATCATTTGCACCGTCTCAGCTTAAACCCGGGCTTCTTTTGCTCGTTAAAGAAAGCAGAAAAGCCAAAGGATTTCAAGTTGATAAAATTGTAGAACAGCACGGGCACATTGCCTACGGTGGCCACCCTACTATTCACGTTTAAATCCAACTGAACTCGTCTGGGTGAAGATCAAAACTGTGTTGTAACGCCTCTAATTTTCTGGCGCTCATATGACCTTACGCAGTTGCGAGCGCCGAAAAACCTCTACTAAAACTAAACTACTAAAGCCACGGTTGCATTTCAAAATATAGCCTGTAAATTGAAATATGTTAAACAGCTAAAAGAAAATGCGATATCTCGAGTGGACAAAGTTTATTTAGGGCAGTGTGAAACGCATGTAAAACGTATGGAGGGCGATTATTGGGAGAAGGAAGGACTTCAGTTCATCCAACCAAGAGTAGTAGTAGATCTAGTCACCAACCCATGTGAAGACTCGTCTGACTCGCTGACAGAACAAAGGTAGGCCAGTGCTGAGACTACTCACTCCTTGCCACATTTTCTTCTTTTTTTTTGTACGCCCCTGAATGCGCACATCTTTTCGTGTTTGGATTATAGATTAGATACCGTAAGCACTAAAAGTGATGTACTTATGATGAAGAGAAATTAATTAACCAGTCTCTAATTAGCTACCTAATTTGTCGCGGGTGCACATAACTATCACTAAAATAATATGGTTAAAATCGAACAAGTAGTTGCTGCGCTATTTAGCTTCGCACGTGTCCACGAATTATGAGACGGATTATTGCCCCACCTCCTTTTTGAGGTGACCAATCCAACTGATAGCTGATATACATGGTATATATAATCAGTGCTTGTGACTATTTATGAGAGTGGTCCAACAGGGGTAAACAGAGTGTTTATGTTGCAATTAAACCAACCTGAGTGTTGTGGACACGCTTCGAAACTGAGCCATAATTTAGATCTATAAAGCCTACTTCTTCTATGAGGGTATTTGTGAGGCAGCGTGATGAAATCAGGCGCTCGTCAAAAATAATGAATGTGAAGAAACTGGCATTTTCCCACAGGTTTGGAATTTTTTTTCAAATTTTGTTTTTTTGGGCTGAACACCTTTCGTGTCCATTTAAGAATACATTTCTGTGTGGGTTGTACTGGAAAACATCAATTAAAGGCACAAAAAGTGTAAATTTTCTGTTTCCACGGACACTCAAGTTAAGAAAATCACTATACTTTGGCGGCCTTTTCCTCTCTCATTTCACCTCTGAGACTAGGTGACCCCCACTGACTTCATTCGCAAATATCTCGACTTGTATTCAAGATAAATGGATATTTTTTTATCCAAAGCATGACAAATGAGCAACCTTTAAGATGATACCAATAACTTCACAAGCACCAAAATTGACGAGAACCTGATTCCACCACGCTGTCTCACATTTCGCTACCTCAGAATGATAACATTCTATCTGACATTTTTGGTCGTTTTGAGTTACCAAGACCATGAGGCCAAGCACCAAAATAATGTTCTATCTGTTTTGACAAATTGGAAAGTTTATCCGGAGTCGTTATCAAGATATTCAAAGAATTACATTGATAAAAGCTTGACATGATGTGGAAGGAATTCAAAATCTTTAACGTCAAATTTGTCAAAACTAGGTCGTACTGAGCAGATAGAACTTTGTAATTCTGAGGTAGTGATTGGACGGCGACGATGTTCCCAAATAACGGAAAGCAAGCAGGTGTGATTACATGTATGTCAGCGGAGTGGAATCAGGCTCTCGTCAAAATAATCAAAGTGAAGAAACTTGCATTTTTCAGCAGGTTTGTGAGTTTTTATCAAATTTGCGTTTTTTTGGCTCAACACATTCCATGCCCATTTAAGAACTCATTTCTGTGTGGATTTTTCTGGAAAAACGTTGATTAAAGGCACAAAAAATGTAAATTTTCAGTTACCACGGACTCTATAGCTAAGAAAATAACTAATCTTTGGCGGCCATTTTCTGACTAATTTTTCCTCTGAAAACAGGTGACCTCCACCTCCTTCTTTCGCAACTATCTCGACTTGTATTCAAGATAAATGTATATTTTTTTTCATCCAAAAAAAAAAGACAAGTGAACAAGCTTTAAGATGATACCAATAACTCTGCATGCCCAACAATTGACGAGAGCCTGATTCCACCGCGCTGCCTCACATTTGATTACGTAGGCTCGTTCACGTTCGTCTGACCGTGGTTAAAACGGGATAGATCTAGAAACAAATCGCTCTGTTTCATCTTTCTGGCTCTTCGCATGCGACCAACAGAATCTAAAAGGCCATGGGGCTCTCGTGGCCTAGAGGTTAAGGTGTTGGCCTCTCATTCAAAGGTCCCGGGTTCGAATCCGGGTAGCGACCAAAAAATTTTCTTCTCTAAAATTGTCTCCTTTCACCTCCTTTCCTGCTCTCTAGCATTGTTCTGTTGTCTGCTTTCATTTCCACTTTCTGCCCCCACCCCCTCACCTCCTTTGCCCCCTCCTCTGGGCTCCTGACTCTTTCTGCAGCCTTTCTATTGCTACTCCTTGGCTCCTCCTAACTGCTGTCTTTCTGCCACACCCCTGATCTTCTGGTAGGAAAGATCTACACCTAGCCTTCTCGGACAAGGGCGAAAAATCTCGGAGGGCCCGTGTGCAAGTTGCGCACGTTAAAGATCCCTTGGTGGTCTAAAATCGATAAGAGTAGGCTTCGGCCGCCACCCGGGCAAAATTCAAAATGTCCTACCAACGAAAAAGTATTAGGTGTGTCCCGCGCGCTCATATGACCTTATGCAGTTGCGAGCGCCGTAAAACCCTATACTAAACAAACAAACAATAAAAGGCCATCCAAAAAAGTCACTGCAAACTAAGGTTCCGTCTTCCGACACGTTTTCGTAGATGGAAGCCTAGAGCAGGTAACAAAAATAATAATAGTGGATTTACAGCACACACTTATCTATAAAGCTTTTGAAAGTTGACATAATTATATGTTCCTCAACACCACTATTTAACGTTCGCCAAAGAAACACGATTCAAGAGACGGGGTGAGTATTTTTCTAGACTCACGTGGAGCACGTGGAGACGTCCAGACAGCCGGGGGATGAAATCTACAAGCTTACACTGAAATGTGGGGGCAGGGTGGTGTCGCTGTCTCAAAATGAGCAATTGGTAGGCAAGGCTACTGCCTGTCATTTATTTTAGTAACCCTGTGACTGTGTATGCATCCAACGAGCGGTTTTTTTAATATAGGGACCAAACAGAAAAACGTTTTTATTACTGGGTCAATACATTTTAAAAGTTTTGTTTGTTCGTTCGCTGGCCTGCAGAAATGCCATGCAAAGTTTCGTGGGCATTGGTAAATTCCTCAATGATCTAGAATTTTTTTTAACGCTGCCAGACGAAAGTGAACAAGCTATAGACGCTGTACGTTTTAGTTTTAGTAGAGGTTTTACGGCGCTCGCAACTGCATAAGGTCATATGAGCTCTGAGACTGTTGTGCTCATTGAAGAAAGATTTCTAAGAACAAAGCCAGATCCTCCCGCTTTCTACGAGTGAGCAACAGCACAGGCAGTGGCTGTGTCTATTAAACATTTTCACCTCAAACCAGTCGTACAAATAGAAGAGAATAAGTTGTGGAGAATGCAAGTGGGTACATAAACGTATGTAGGCTATGCAGCGGTCGAGGGGTAAAGCAAATGTGAGGTGTGCTGACAAAACATGTTTTCTTTCGGGTTCTAGCGGTATGAAAATTGATACATCAACTTTTTAGCTGGAGTTTGTTCAATTTGTAAGTATGGAATGATAAAAGGCACAGAAGACTTGAACAAAATGGAATCAACTAAAAATCTTTATATCAGACCCCAGTGTCGATTTTCGGCAGATATCACCATTCTTGGATCGCGAGAAGTAACTCATTTTGTCAGCACGCCTCTCAAATGCATTTTAAGATTCTTTCAGCACGCAAGGGACTCCACAATTTTACTTTCACTCACAGGCGCTTAGGGAGTTACCTTAAAACGGCTACAGTTCAGTCAAATGTTGGCGGATTTGTTTGTGAGAGCACTCTAACTATTCGGAATTGAGAGTCGAATCACAGTACAGGTGAACATAGCACGGGACCAGGTGTAGATCTTGGAGGTCACGAAATCGGTAAGCTATTCCGAAAACACCACCCTTGGCGATCCGGAATCAAAGAGATAATTCCAAGTACATGAACGTGAAGTTGAAAAAAGAAACGACTTTTAATAGCCGAAGACTTAGCACAATGATGAAATAATTACACACAATTATGTACAAATGTATTAAAATTTGGTCAGCCAGCAGAACTAAATTTGTACGTGAAATCCACCCCAACTTTTTCAAACATATTTTCTCGTTGTTGCAAGGGTATTTTAGCTCTCTTTAACCGCTGGAAAAACAGATCTTTGGCGTATTGATACAGCCTTATGTCGAGAAGGTTGCGCTCAATGACCCTCTCCCAGTGGCTTTCCGACATAGCTGCGTAATTAGTCCCCATCGCACCTTTTCGCACGCTGAAATCTTTGCTCATCTTCAAACCAATAAACGTGTGCTCAAGTAAAAGTTGGCTCTCGCGCTGGTATTCCATTAGTCCGAAAAATGTGAAAAACCTGGCAAGGTTTTCCTTGGCACTCTGTAGCATGATCTCGTCTCTCTGCTGACGTGTCAGATTGGACTCGCGCCTGTAGCACTCGCTCAAGCTCAGATTTGCTAACATTCGGGTCTGTCTGTTGAACGCCATGTTGCTTCTGAAGAAAAGATGAAATGTTAATAAGCTTGTGGATGCAGCTGAGGGTAGTAAAAGGAAAATCAAAGTACATATTACCCCCC